TTGGATGAATGCATCAAAGATAATTTAAATTTATCGAATATTTCAAGAATTTCAATTCACAAATATTATTTGTCAAATATGAAATATACATTTTGGATTTAATTTATTACATAAAAGTATTTTTGCTGGTGAAAATTTATGAAAGAATTTAAAAGTTTATATAACTGTGTGATATCACAAAGAAATAAAAAGTAATTTTAAATTAATTTAATTATTTTAAATTTATTTTGATAAATTCGTCTCTTTTTATTAGTGACACTTCTTTTGCTTTTGTACATTTCAGTTAAATCTTTTTTTTCTTCTTTAAGCAGTTTACAGAGAGAGAGAGAGAGAGAGAGAGAGAGAGAGAGAGAGAGAGAGAAGAAATTGTAATTTTTACTTTAAAAATTTAAATTCTTTTAATTTCAGAAGCTTTTTTATTTTGAAATGGATTAGAAATTATTTTTTTTTAGCATAATTTATGATAAATGATAAATTTTTTTTGAATTTTTGAAAAATGAAATTTATGAAAATTTTAATTTTAAAATAATATTTTGAATTTAAACATTAATCTTTGTTTATAATATATATTATTTTATAGTAGTATTTATTGATCACAATGATCAATAAATAGTAACAAAATATGCTAATAAACATTCCTTATATCAATCTCTCAATTACTCTTACAATAAGGATAAATACTAGAGAGGAATGAATAAAGAGAGAGAGAGAGAGAGAGAGAGGGAGAGAGAGGGATGAAAGAGAAAAGAGATTTATTTCTTCCATCATCAATTCCATCAATTTTCATTTTATAATCTTCTTTTATAGTCTTTTTAAAATATAAATGGAATGAATGTTACCTTGGCATGAATTAGTCATAAAAAGCTTATAAAATTACACCTAAATTCTTCATATTACAATTAATAATTCTATTTCAATTATATTTCAATTTCAATTTTTTAATTACATTTCAATTTCAGTTTTAATCTTTTTCAATTCATATTACATTTAAATAGTTCAAAAATTTCAATTACATTTGTATTGAAATAAACCAAAAAGTGCTAAAATGAGATTACAAGAATTTTGCTCATTTCATAATTTCATTTTATTGAAAAATGAAAACTTTTTCAAATGAGAAATTAATCATAAATATTGCAAACATTTTATCAATCGATAATGATTAAAATAATTTTTTTTTTTTTTTGAAAAGGTATCATTTTTAATGAAAATTGTGAAGTAATATAATTTTTATTTTGTTTTTCATTTTTTTGAATGATAATTTTAAAATGAAGTGAAGGTAACAGAATAAATAAAAAACAATCATTGATTTTACTAATAATTTCTTTTTAAAAAAAGAAGACTAACTTTAATTGTTAATGTTTACAAAATTTAAAAAAAAAAGGTTATATTTGAGAAGTTATAATTCAAAAACTAAAATTTGGATTTAATTTAAAATAAATTTTAAAGTTTAATTATTATTAAGTTTAAATTTACTTTTCGAATGTTAAAAAAAAGCTTTTTTGGACAACAAGAAATTCAACTATTAATGACAGTAATTATATTTGTTAATTAATTAGAGAAGCATTAAAAACACAAATGTTATCAGCTAAAAATTAACAAATTTAATCAAAATCCGTTATTGATAATTAATTTGTTCACTTCCATTTTAAATGGTTCCATTTTAAATTCAATTTTATCTCTTTTTTTTGCCACAATATTATTTAATTAGCTCTAAGTCAATTCTGAAGATGATAAGAATTTTATCACACTTTAATTTTAGTCAAAATGATCTTAAAAAAAACAAAAACAAAAACACCGATTTTATCACTCAAATCTTAACAATAATATCATTGGATCATAACAGGATGAGTTGAGTGATAAGTTTAGTGATAAGACTAATTTGATATCCTTCACTAAAATGGATCATAACAGAATCATTTATTGATAAAATTTATTCGTGTAATTGTCAAAATATATTTCATAAAATAATACGACAATATTTATGATACTTAAATGACATTTGATGATAGTAAAATTAAAATTTAACTTTTGCTTCTTTTTTTTTTTTTAAATAAAAATATTGAAGATGTCAGTCCTTTTTGAAAGAAAAAAATGAAAAATAAAAAAAACAAGAATTTTTCTTATAAAAAAAAAAGAGAAACAACTCTCTGTCATCTATAATTACTTCATGTTTACGACTATAAAAAATGTTATCAAAAGATTAAATTCATTGTTTTCATAAAAAAAAAAAAACTAAAAAAAGTGCTAATAAAAAAAAAGAAAACCTTCAGGCAATTTTGATCACTTTTTTGTCAGTATTAATTCTAATCTTTGTTTTTTTTTCTTTTATTGAACTTTTATTGAGGTCTAAGTTTTTTTTTTTCTTCTTTGAATAATCCATTTAATTCTTCTTTTTATTGCTTTAAATTAAATTAGGGATGAAATTATCTTTTTTTTCTTTAAAATTAAATTAAAAATTTTTTTCAAATTTAAATATAATTTCAAGATGTGTAACGAAAAAAAAGAGAAAATTGGTAAAATTTGATATGATCATTTAAGCTTTTATGGTCATTTATTTTATACAAACAAGAAATTTCATAAACAAGAAAACATAAATAAAATAAAATTTTAAAATGTAAAATTAAAAAAAGAAAACGCCAAGTTGTAGTTAATTTGTAATTTTGTGGTGACAACAAGATGATATATGTTTGGTGACATTAATTCAAAAATTACATTGCAACGAAAAAAAAATTAGGAATAATACTGAGATAGTGGTATCATTTAAATTTAAGAAAATATTTCAAAAAGTATGAAAAAATTTTTGTTTTTTTTTTTCAAATAGATTTAAGAAAATTTATGATTTTACAGCATATATTATTTTTAATATTCAAAAAAGAAACAGTAAAATGCAAATAAAAATTTGCCGTTTTTTTTTCAATTTTGTAAATAAATTTTCAAATTAAAATATGAAAGAAAAAAAATTATATATTCACAATCTAATATTTGTTGAAATAATAAAAAAAAAAATTAAAATGAAAATGTTTCGTACAAGAAAAGAATCAATAAAATAACATTAATGTTTTGTTTCTTTTTTTTTGAAAAATAAAAAGGAATTTTAAAATTTAAACATAAATAATATTAACTTGTGATAATTTTATTAATTGCAGTACAAATTCATTTGATATTTTTTATGCAGTATTGATATATCAGTGATAAAATGATAAAAAACAAATAATGATAGCAATTTTGAAAAAGATTTACAAAAGAAATATTAGACAAATATCAAAACTGTTTCATTCAATTCATTTTGTGCTGTTTCGAGATTATTCACTTTTCTAAAATTTCAAAATTAAAGAATTAAAAATGCCATCTGTAGCACAAAAAAGAAAATATATAATTGCAATAAACTGAGAAAACAAACAATTTAATTAATTTAAAAATTGTTTAGTGCTTATTTTGTTATTATTTTTATTAATTATTCACTTTCTTATTGTAGTACTTAACAAATTCAAAAAAAAAAAGTACCTAAGTATTACTATTCAAATTATTTTTAATATAAAAGTGTTTAGGTGAAAAATTTTAAACTTTGTTACATAACAATATTTTCTGATTTTCAAAAAAATTAGGTGAGCTTGACTTTATGCGAAAAAAAAATTTCTTTTTAAATATTTGTAGAATTTGGTGTCTTTCTGTTGTTTTATTTAAGAATTTTAAATGCATCAATAAATAGTATATTAATATTGTAATTTAATGGAATAAAATAAAACTATTATTTTACTTAAGAATTTTAAATACATTAATAACTGGTATATTAATACTGTAATTTAATAAAATAAAATAAAACAATATTAAATAAACCAATGGGAACTTATTTAACTATCTAAAAATATGATTAAGCTTCATTTGAAATTTTTTTGATGTAAAATCAAAAATAAAAAATACAATGGAATAATTAGTAAGTAATTATAATAATTCCGTAGAAGAAAATTGAAAAATTGCAAAAAAAAAGAAAAGTTATATTAGTCGTATTCGCTTTATTTCAAATGAAAATTTAATCGATGAATAAATAATTTTTTATTTTTTAAAATAATTCTAAAATGAAAATAATTTTTTAATTACGAAAGCAAATAATGTAAGTTAGAAAATTTTTGCAACAACATTTTTCATTATTTAAAATATAAAACTAAAATCAGATAAAAATTAGGAATTCATTTTGTTACAATTTAAATTAAATGAATTATAATAATAAGTATAAACATGGTATCTGAAATTTTAATCAGTAAAATGATATACGTAATAAGTAACGCGTATATACGTGATAAGTGGTACGTAATATATACGTGATAAGTGAGTAATACATAATATATTTTATTTCACCACAACTTCTTCATTTCACAAATACAAATGATTATTGTTATTACAAAATTAAACTTTTCTCCTCTCTCTCTCTCTCTTTCTTTCTCCCTCTCTCTTTCTCTCTTTGGTAGCGATTATATTAAACAAAAATTTGTCATCAAAATTTAAACATTTTTAGCATCAAATAATGTCCGTGTTAGTGGTAGAATAGGATTGTTGATAGATTCAATCTGAAATTTTAATTAGTAAAATAAAATTTGAATATTATTTTTTTTAAAAAAAAAAGTTAATCATAAAACGAGAGAATTTGTTATACGTATTTCTTTTTTTTTTTGCAATGAAAAAACAATTTTAACTTTTATTCATTAATTGTTTTATTATTTTCTTTTTTTATTCTATTTGTCAAAAAAAAAAAATAAATTAAAAAATTTCTTTTTTCTAGTTTTACTATTTGTAAAATGTAATTTTTTTAAATGAATTTTAGATTTTTAAGAGAAATATTTTCAATTTATTACCATTTTTCAAAATGATTTTCAAAAAAAAAAAAAAATAATCTGTTTCTTTCTTTCAAACTGCAAAAACGAAAAGAAAAATTCAATTCAAAATTTAATATTTTATTAAATTTGCTAGAAATCAAAAAAAAAAAAAAAAAGAAAATGATGGATTCAAACTTTTCCATTAGTTGTAATTTTAATAGCACATAGTTGACAGGTTGTCATCAAAGTGTGACATTTTTGTAAATCCCATGGAGTTTTAGCTATTCCATCATTTAGAACAAAAATTCCAGTAATATTACTAACAATTATGGCACATCTGAAATAAAAATTACTTTTTAATATTTCAAAAAAAAAAAAAAAAATTAAATTAAATTAAAAAGGAACTTGAAATCATCCCATTATGATGTAACTATTTGTTTAAATTTCACTGATTACAAATGATAAATAACATTATTAATTAATTAAGATTAAATTGCAGTAGTAATTAGAGTTATTTATCCATATTATAGGTCTCAAATTTAAATTTAAATTAATGGTAAATTTGATTGAAATTATTTAAATTCCTAGAAAACGTATAAGCAAATAACAGCTTATGCTAATTTTGAAATATTATTACTTCTATTTTGTGCAAAAAAAATAATTTCACGTATAAATAATTATTGATAATAGCTTATCATTTTATGTCATCTGAGAACTGATAAGAGATGATAATTGAATCAATCAATTAATTCAATTTTTCAGCAACATTTATTAGTTTTATTAATTTGGAAGTGTGAAAAATGAAATGAAAGGAATGAATTTTAATTAATTAGCAACAATTTGACGATTAATTATCAAGAAATTATGTTCCATCCCTAATTTCTTGGCTGATATGATATGATAACAAAACATTCACTATTTTAGCATATCATTTAGATCAAATAAGATGCCGAAAAAATGGTGCTAAGTTTAGATCAAATAAGAAATCAATATCATTTAAAAAATTTACGATAACTTGTCACAATGTCGCCTAATAAAAAAAAAATTGTAAAAATGCTATCTTATTATCTCATAAATTAAAATATTATTTTAATTAACATTTCTTCTTTTTTTTTTAATTAATATGTAAAAGTAATTTTTTTTCTAATCTATTTGTTTATCATAAATTCAAATTAAATTAAATCAAACTTTGATAAAAGATTTAATGAAATAATTACCTATCTTTAAAATTTACAATGATATGTTCGTAAAATCGTTGTAACCTATAAATAAATTCTTGTGGTGTTTCATTTTTTGAAAGTTCGTCAACTTTTAATAATGGCGTATAAATTTGATCAGTTGAAAGTATGCCTTGTTTTTGTAACTAAAAATAAAAAGAAAAAAAAATATTTGTTTATATTTACTAATTAAGCAAAATAGGAATAAATTATTATTTTTTTTTATTTTTAATAATATAAATTTTTTTTTCAATTTTGATATTAATTATTTTTTGTTATTTTTAATATTAATAATACAATAATTTTTATTTTTTATCACTGTTTTTTTTTTTGTTATTTGCTATTATAATTATAAATTAATTAGTTCAAATTTTATTATCAAATGGTTATTTACTACTATCAAAATAAATATTATTATCATTTTGTTGTTTAAATTTTGCAGAAAAAAGAAAAGAACTGATAATATAGTAAAATTAATTCAATTTATCAAAATTTTTCAAATAAATAATTTGTAATTTTGTTTTTTTAAAAAGGAAAAAAAAGCGATAAAGAAGAAGTAAGTATTACCTGTGCAATTGTTAGCCAATATTTTTGGCTCTCATCTCGAAAGGCTGTAAATTCAGCTAATGATGGTTCAACACAAATGCACCAATTTTGAATTTGCAATGAACGTTGAATTGAATGTGCTGTTTGAATACACCTTAGCTCAGGTGATGTAAATATCTATATTGTAATAAAATCTTTTTTAATTTTTAAAAAAAAAATTTTTTTTTTTTTTAATTTTATTAATTTTAGAAAAATACAAATTTTTATTTGTGCTATTAATAACTTAGCAAAATTGAAATGAATATTATTTTAAAATAAATATTAAAAAATTAGCAAATTATATTTTATAATTAATATTTTAATTTAATAAAAAGAAAAAAATTAAAATATACAATTTTTGGTTGATAATTAGCATGCAAAATGCCTCGTCCAATTAATGCAGCGCATATTTTGCCATGCTCAGTAATTGGTGAATCAAACTGATAATGCGCAATTGGTCGTCTAATACAATCATATTTAAATGAAAGCTTAAAAATTTTTTAAAAACTTTTTTTTTATTCAAATTAAATTACACTTGTAAAAATGATACATTAATTAAGAAATGTTAAATTGCATTAATTAATTTCAGTAATTTTATTTATCATTGTAAACTGATAATGCGCAATTGGTCGTCTAATACAATCATATTTAAATGAAAGCTTAAAAATTTTTTAAAAACTTTTTTTTTATTCAAATTAAATTACATTTGTAAATAAAAATCAATGATAGATTAATTGAGAAATGTTAAATTGCATTAATTAAATAATAAATATCTTGTTTATATTTTTATGATTAATTATAATTAATTTTCCTACCAATTTTTCATCAACTTATAAAATAGAACTTCCTTTCAGTGTAATTAAAGCTTTTTCCGGATTTATATTCCGTAATATTTGAGTACTAACCACCGATCGACATTTGTAGATCATATTTTAGAGTTTAATTAATTAAATTAACCTTAATAATGACGATGGCATATTTAAATCGAAGGGTCGATAAGCAATGTCATCGCTATTTCCAACAAATGATCGGTTAAGCCAATTTGGAAATATTTGATCAACGGTTTCAGCATTAGTTTTTCCAAGTAAAATAAGTGAATATGATCGTACTAACCACCGATCGACATTTAAGACATATTTTAGATCAATTAATTAAATTAATTTTAATAATGACGATAATATTTAAATCTTAGGGAATCGAAAAGCAATGTCATCGCTATTTCCAACAAATGATCGTTTAAGCCAATTTGTAAATATTTGATCAACGGTTTCAGCATTAGTTATTCGAAGTAAAATAAGTGAATATGATCGTTGCAACTTAAAAATGAAAATAAACATTTAAAAAGTCAATAAATTAGAAAATTTTTTAATCCATAAAGTAAAACTTAAGAGTAGAAATACGAACTGAAATGGAATAGCATTTAAATTAATCTGAAATAGCAATAAATTTTAAATATTTAAGATTGAACATAGAATATTACAAAGCTAAAGCAGACTTGAACTGATGTAAAATGCTAAGTAGTTATTTGTTATAACATATTAAATAAACTTACTGATGTCACATAGCAAAGCAGAACTGATAATGGAATACATAATGCTAAAGCAGAAATGAACTAATTTCAAATAATGCTAAGAGACTTGAACTGATGTCACATAATGTTAAAGCAGACTTGAACTGATATCACATAATGCTAAAGCAGACTTGAACTGATGTCACATAATGTTAAAGCAGATTTGAACTGATATCACATAATGCTAAAGCAGACTTGAACTGATGTCACATAATGTTAAAGCAGATTTGAACTGATATCACATAATGCTAAAGCAGACTTGAACTGATGTCACATAATGTTAAAGCAGATTTGAACTGATATCACATAATGCTAAAGCAGACTTGAACTGATGTCACATAATGTTAAAGCAGACTTGAACTGATATCACATAATGCTAAAGCAGACTTGAACTGATGTCACATAATGCTAAAGCAAACAAACTGATATCTATTTTGAAAACAATTTCATATAATTAATTTCAATTTTTAATTAATATTTTGATTGATAATTTAAAAATTGGTTAAATCAGTAATTATTTGCTATGTATTTTCTTCTTTCGATGACTATAAAAAAGAAAATTTCATTTATAAGAAAATAAAAGGATAACATTGGTTGTGATCGACCAGATCGCATGCAAATTAGCTTTCGATGATTGGTATACTTTGAAGCAATTGATTTACTCTCTTCTAGATATCACTTAATTAGTTAATTAATTATGCAAATTTAGTATAACATACATAAAATGACATCTTACTATTCGAATTTCAATTGTCTATTTTGCTAAGAAAAGATATTGAATTTCCATTTTTCACTTAAACATTTCATTCGTTTAAAATAATCTCTATAAAAAATGATAGACATTAACCTTATAAAGAAGTAGTGGTCAGTAACTTTTAACAAGTGGACAATAGTTATATTAAAAAAATGATGGACATTAGCCATTATGAAAAATGTAGGACATTAATCTCTATGAAAATTAGTGGACAGCAAACTTTATGAAAAAGGGTGGGCAATAAATTTTATGAAAAAGAGTGGACAGTAAACTTTGTGAAAAAGAGTGGACACTACACTTTGTGGGAAAGAGTGGACACAGTAACGTTTATAAAAAATGGTAAAAAAATGGTATTTTATCATCAAAACTATGTAAACAATAAATTGCGATTCCATTGTCAAAAAAAAAAGGAAACACTGACGCAAATTTTGACGCTTAATTAGTGCTTTTGAATTAATTAATTAAAGAAGGCTTCTAAAATTTACCTTTATGTTTCCGATTTTTTGAAGTTTCTTTCTCTACGCTCATTTTATTCTGCTCGTCTTTTGTTTTCTTTTTTTTAATAAATCTTTCGGCTAATATTTCTAAAATTTTAGTTTTACTACAATTATATCTCAAAGACTTAATGATCAAATTGGCAGTCAAAAAATCCTCTAACATATTCAAGAGAAGAAAAAATTCTAAAATCAAAATCTGATCTCTGACATTTAATCGAAATAATTGAATTAAAATATTGAAATATTTTAATTTAAACATAATGATGAGTTAAATTTTTGAAGTTTCGAAAAATTGCATTATTGAAATAATATATTTTTTAGCTGACAAAATTTTAAATTTGATTTGATTATTTAATATTTTACTGGGAAAAAACTTTCAAATCAAGTTTAATAAATTGATAACAAAGTTTATGTAAAATTTAAAAATTACAAAACTTGAAATTTTAATAATTCGAAGAAATTTAAAATAAAGATTCAAAAAATTCATCTAAAATAATATCCCAATTCATTGTCAAAATGCAATAACTGATATATGAACTCATATTAGTTTTTAAGTTTAATTACTTTTAACCATTTTTAAGTTTAATTACTTTTAACCATCTCTAACAGACCATATGCTGTCAGTATAATTGTCGAAATGAATAAATTTCAAAAAAAAAAAGATAATTTCATTTGTATTTTTTGCATGTTTTAAATTAAAATTTAAAAAATGATATTTGAAGCTTTTATAATTTAAAAGCTTCAAATATCATCGCAGTTTCATTCGTTTATCAAATTTAATTGCTGAATTCACCAAGTTTAATTGTTATCAAAGTATTATTTTTTATTATAAAAAAAAATAATAAATTTTTTTATTAAAAATTAAACCTTTGAATAAATGAAAATAATTTAAAGAATTATTATATTATTTTTATTGTTTACTTTTATTTTATAAATGTTTAAAATATTAGTAATTGTGCCATTTAAATTATAACTTTTAGTATTATTTTGTTTAATAAATTAATAAAAAAAATAATTTTTTGCTTGCACTGAAAGAAATTTTCTTTTGCTGATGAAAATTTTTTAATTCAATTTTAAATTTATTAAACAAATAAAATAATAAGTCAAAAAAAAATTGAAATTTATCAAATTATCTCTTGAAATTACCAAAAAATTTCCTGTTGAGATGAATGAATTATCAGTGCCAAAGTATGCACCAAATATTTATCAGTATATCAGTGGAATTATTGAAAATGCATTAAAACAAACTGAACAAATATTATTAAATTTAAAGACACAACGTAATGATACAGTGATAAATGTTAAAAATGCAACAGGTTCTAATCAAATTTTTATTAAATAATAATTTAATTAAAATTTAATTTTTCAATTAAAATGTGTAATGAATATTTGCTACCTTTGTCATAAAAAAATTTTTTTTAATGCAAAATTTGAAAAAGAAAAAAGGAAAGAAAAGTAAACAAAGCATTTTTTGTTATTTAGATTAATTTTTATTATTCAACAAATAATATTTGCTAATTAAATTCTTTTTTCTTAAAAGAAAAAAAAACTAAATAAAAAGAAATTTTAGAAAAATTAATGGTTTGGAAATAAATTTCATTAAAAAAAATTAAAAATATTTTTAAGTGAAACTTAATAATGAAGAAAAAAAGAAACCTTCGATAATGCATATGCAAAATGCTAAACAAATGGTAAATTATTAAATAATTTTAATAAAAATATAATAGTAGCATTTTATTTAAAAAAAGATCTTAAAATTTTAACTTTTAAATTTAAAAAATCAAAGTTAAATCTTGTAAATGAAAGTTATATTATTAAAAAAGTGAAGGTAATGTTAATGAAAGTTTTATTATAAAAGAAATGGAAGTAATATCAATGAAGGTTATTCTATAAACAAATGAAAGTATTATTATAAAAAAAAAAATTAACGAAAAAAATTATAAAGAAAAAAAAATTAAATTTCATTTTTTTAATAATATAGTTTTCATTTTTTAATAATAAAACTTTCATTAATATTTAATTAAGTGATATTAATGAAAATTACATTATGAAGAATGAAACTTTAATTAATTACAAATTTCAATGTAAATTTTTTTTTTAAAAATCAAAATAAGTAAGCATTAAAAATTTTGCAGTCAAATGATAAAACATTGTTATCAGTGACAATGCAATATCCACAAAAAGTAACCAATTCATCATGGCAAATTATGGATTTATTATGTTTTCCGATTGAAAATGAGGAACGAAATTTAAAATTCACTGATCGAATTTTTGCATCAATTGATCAAAAATCAATAATGCTAATGCGTGAATATGATAATTTGACTAATTGCATTCATCAAAAAGTGCAAACAAAATGTAATCAATGTTATCAGAAGCAAATTAAAATGATAAAATTACAACAGCAACAAGCCAAATTAGATCAACAAAAGGGAATAAGGTTAAATTATCATTTATTATTAATATTTCTTTTTTTTAAATCACAAAATTTTATTATATCAGAAAGTGAAGAAAGAAAGAAAGGAAAACAGAAAAAAATAAATAAATAAATAAATAAATAAAACATTTTTATATTATTTCAATAAAATAATCATATTTTATTGAAAAACTTCAATAATATAAAAGTATTTCAATCTTTTTTTTTTATAGTAATATGAATTATTATTAATCTAATTTACGACAATAACAATTAATTAAATTATAGTAATTTATCTCAAAAACAAGTAAAGAAAGTTGACAAACATCGTTTAGCTTCAATTAAGAATGTTTCTAGCGAGCAATTTCCGCAGCGACAACAGCGCATACAACAAATACAGAAGCCTAAAGCTAATAAAAATGGAAGTTAAGTTAATGAACGTGAAAGTTAACGTTCACTAACGTGGAAGTTACATAAGCTAATGAAAATGGAAGTTAAGTTAATGAACGTGAAAGTTAACGTTCACTAACGTGAAAGTTAAGTTAGTTAACGTGGAAGTTAACGAGCGTGGAAGCTTATCTACTGAATGCTTACTTCATTTTCTCCCTTATTATCCCTTTGAATACTTCATTTCCTATTGTCGGAAATTTCAAAAAAAAAAAAAAAATTTAATAAAATAAGGTAAAAAAAAGTTTTTTAATTCTAACCTAAGTGTATTTCTTATCATAGCAAAACACACTGATAAGACTATGCTAAAGTAATATTTTGTAATTTTAGATTCACTGATAAGGAAAAAATCTTATCATTAGATCAAAGTAAATCAAAAATTGATTCATTGGATGTTCAAGAAAAGTCGAAATCAATTAGCAAAATTGATGAAGCAAGTGCAGAAAGTAGTGTTGAATTTGTAAGTTTACTTATTTAAAGCCTAATGTATAAGTAATACTTTTTGATTTTTACTTAAGTAATACTTTACTATTTAAATTGGTAACTTTTACTTGAAAGCCTGAAGAGAACTAGATTTTATTCTTTATTCATTTTACCTTAAAACATTCTAAAATTTTTTAACTCTTCAGAAGTGTTTTTAAAAAAAAAGATAAAAAGTTTAAACTTAATAATTTGCTAATTTTGTTTATTAATTTATTTGATAGATTTTACTTTGTTTTTATTGATTTTCTTTTTGTTTATTAAAAAAACCTACTAATTTATTTGATAAATGTTAAAAAAATAAGCTAAGAATGAAATATATTTATACATTTTTTTTTAAATAATTTAAATATTTTAACAATATCCAATGAAAGTCTATCAAGAAAAAGTATATGTAAAGGAAATGTTGCAATATGATTGATAAACCTATCATTTATCAAAAAAGAAAGTAAATGATAAGAAGATATCAAAATTCTAATCTTTTGATAATAACATTTTCGATTAAAAATATCTTTTATCAACAGTCGGAACAAGAAGTACCAATGAAATCGGAGAATAAACAAATACATAAAAAAAGAACAAAAAATAATTTAAAATTGAAATCACATCGTGGCAAACAAATTAAAAAGTCAAGTAGCACTGAAATTGATAAGCGAATGATATCAGCTAGAAACGGCAGTGATAGTCGAAGTACTATGCGATCATCTTCTGATACATCTGTTCATTGTTGGTATTTACTGATAATCAATAATTCAAATTATTTTAAATGATATATCTGAAATTTAACTGAAAATATTTTTTTTTTGAAATTAATATTATTTAGAAATACTAGAATTGATAAGCATTTTGTAATTAGCAGAAAGTAAAACTTAAAAAATTTACAAATTGATTAAAAAAAAAAAAAACTATTTAATATTTAAAATGTTTACATACTATTTAAAATATTTACAGAAATTTTTTTCAAAGTATATAATTTCTTAAAAAGTTAGTCTATTTGCAAATAAATTAAAGTAAATTTTGAATAAAGTATAAAATATTTTATTTAGATGCAAAAATGAATGCAAAAAAAAAATTGAAACGTAAAACAAAAAAGAAAAAAACGAAAGCAGCGAGCACTTTGGAACATGAATTGCCTTCTCAACAGCCTCCTTCATTAAGTATGATCAAAATATAATTTGTGCTTTATCAGTACTGATCATAAGTGATCTGATCCATTATCAATCACAATCTTTCGTCTTATCTTTATTTAATCGTATAGTTTTTCCCTTGTTTTGTTCGTTTGTTTTTTTTTTTTTTTGTTTATAATTATAAACAATTTCTTAAAACAAATTCTTATTAGGTTCAGTGTTATAAGTGTCGATACTTTTATCAATATCAGTAGTGTTTATACTTTTGTTAATATCAGTAGTATCTATGTTGATACTTCATAGCAATATCAGTAATATCTGTAGTATTTTTATTAATACTTTTTTTTATCAATTATTAATATTTTTAATATTTTATTAATTTATTAATATCAGTAATAGTATTTTTTATTGATCAAATGTGAAATTAAACAGCTGATAAAGTGATCAATGACTGATATAAAAATGACAACATTTTAGATACCACAAAAAAACAAAGATATGAAAAATATTTTAGTGTATTTCACTGAGTGATATCATTTACAAATGCAAAAATAATTATTATCACTTTTTGAGGTTTCAAATTGCTATTAATTACAATAATTTGATAAAAATTAAATTTTCTAATATGTCATCAAAAAAAAAAGGAAAGAAATTTAATTTAGAAGAAAATGAAATGAGCGATGAAAGATGGAATGAAACATATCAAATTTTTGGGAAGCCTAAAAATGGACGAAAGAATAAAAAACAATTATCAATGGAACAATTCGGCACTGATCAACCTGTATCGAAACAATATCGTGGCGTAAGATCAATGGTTGAACCAATAGGTTGTCAAAAAGTAAAATAATTTTATTTTATTTTATATTTGTTTATTTTATTTTAAGTAAAATAATTTCATTTATGTTGTAATAAAAAAATTTGCATAATTATTTTATTTAAATGACAAATTTCGATTTTTTGCATTTTTATTATTAATCATTAATAAAATTTAGAAAATATTTCATTCAAATAAACGCTGAATTTTAATAAAAAATAATAAATTAAATAATTTAACAAAAATGCATTTTATATTATACATTAATTTCAAAAAATATATTTCAAAAAATATATTTTTTTTTTCAATATTTTTTCAATATTATATTTCAAAAAAAAAAAAATTTCATTCAAATAAGTTTTCAATTTTAATAAAAATAACAAACTTCAGTTTTAATTTAAAAAAATAAAGCAAAAACCAAATGAATTAATGAAAATAAAGAAATGAAAAAATTCATTTATTAATGTATGAATATTAATTAATATATATTTTAATAATTATTTATAATTAGTTTATGGCCTCTTCTTTTTTTTTGCTTTGGTGACAAAAGGTGACAAAATTTTTTGAAATTGTATTTTAGATTGTAATGAAAGGATGGAAGCCTCATTATAAAGTGAAAAAGATATGGTTGCAAGATGTTTCCAAAGAATGAAAAAAATAACAAAATATTTTTTTTTTTAAGTGAATATTTGGCTGCTAGTAAATTAAGAATAAAAAAATTTCATTCATTAATTTTTGTTTTTGTTTTTTTTTAACTTTTTTTTGTTTTTTAAAAAAAATGAAAATAATAATTTGATAATTTGCATTTAGCATAATTAATATTTGATTATGCTTCTAACAATTATTCGAAAAAATCTTTTCATCCAAAAAAAAGAAATATAAAATAAAAAATAATTTTGATAACATAATTTTATTATTATTTTAGACATTCAATTTTATAAATTAGTATCAATTATTAAATAATATTAAAGTACTATAATTTTAATAATCTTTTATAAGTAATATATATATATAATTTAATTTTAAAGTGTTATTTTTATTTCAATAAATTTATAATTTTTTTTTTAGTATTCTAAATTTAAACAAAAAAAATAAATTAAATTATCAGATCATCGTATTAAATTAATTAAATTAAGTAAACAAAATTAAAAAATTATTTATCAGATAAGTATTATTAGCGTCGTCTTAAAATGATATTTGTTTATTTTTTAAAATGTTATAAAAAAAAAACAAAAAAACGAATGCAATAAAAAATTTAAGAAAACTATGAAATGATTCTCTTAAATTTCTGAAATTTTAAAAAAAAAAACTTTTAATTTCTATTTCAACTTTTACATCCTTTACTAAAAATTACATAACATCAATATTTAAGTTATTACTCTAACTGATAAGAAAAGTGATTAGAAATTACTAAAAGCGGAAAATAAATAAAAATTGAAAAAAAATTTTATATATACAATTAAACAGCATTAAATTTAAATTCAAAACACTTTATAATTATGCCAACAAGTTTTTTCTCAAATTCTTAAGTACTATTTATCAAATATCAGTTTAATATTTGAATATTATTTATTATATTAATAGCATTATGTAATTTTGTCGAAATTAACTCATTCGAATTATTTATTAAATAGTAACAAATGATTAAATAATTTCATTTAAATTTTAATTTCCATTGAAATTAAATGATAACACAAATTGATTTTTTGTTGCAAAATAGAAATGAACAAATGCGCAGCAAAAATGAATAAATAATAATATGGTTATCAGACGAAAAAGTAATGGATAAGTGCTTATCACTGAGAAATATATCACTTGAATAATTGATGTTATCACAAATACACATCGTATTGTATGTCCATAAAGAAACTGTAATCTTATTTATTATCAAAAAAATTAAAAAAAAATGATAAAAAATTGAATAACAAAGAGAAATTATATCATTTGAGAAATTAAATAAATTTTAATCTTATCAGAGTTTGAGAACCTAAAAAATATCTGATAAGTTTTTTTCTGATAATACATCAGATCTCATTTAAACTTTGATCATTTTACGATAAGAAAAAAAATTATCCAAATTTTATCACTTCATGATAAGATGATAAATTGAAGAAATAAAAAAGAATAAAACAAATTATTTAAAGTTCCACTACTACATGAAAATAAATTATTAGAATTTTATAGTTTCATTAGAAAGCGATAGTGATTATTTAAAATTTAATATTTCTTGACAAAAAGGCAAATTTAAGAAATGAAAAATAAATAAATGAAACAAATTATTTAAAGCTTTATTATTTCATCAAAAATAAATTTTTGAAATTCTGATTATTTCATGGTAAGAAGATAAATTATTCAAATTTTATCATTTCAATGATAAAATGAAAAATTTAAGAAGTTGAAAAAGGATAATAAATTTCAAAAAATTCTATTTTCAAATGTAATTTATATCTGTTTTATAATTTCTATGAATTGAAGATTTATCTTACCAAGTATTTTTTAAAAATTGGAATATAATATTCGATTACATTTTGATTATTTCGATTCTCGTTAACGTATAAATGAAATGAATGAGTAATGATAAGACAAAGAATGATAAAAGTGGTGAAAATTGTATTAAAAATTGGATAGAATGTATTCCAACCATTAAAATTAATTGTAAAAAGTAATATTATAATTGTTGTTAATGCAGCAATCTGAAATTGATAAAATGGCGCAATTGTATCGGCCATATTGCGCCATATTTCATTTCCTCTTTCATATAATATGCGAAATTTTTCTCTTATATAATGATACAAATAGAAGAATTATTATTTAAATCAATTTTACATTAAAAAAAAAAAGCAGTTTATATTTAAATTTAAATTTTTAAAGAGTTTATATTAAAATTTTTTTTTTGTAAATTTATATAAATTTAGTAGATTAATAAGATTTTAGCAAAAACTTAAGTTTTACTAAAAGGGAAAAAAAGAGTTAACATTTGCTGTTTAATTTCTTTTTTTTTCTTTTGGATTGAAATCCTATGAAATTGAAATCCATGAAATGTAACACTACTTACATTTCATGTGCTAGAAATGCCTATAATAGAAGCGATCATGGAAATTATTGGATCAACTTGTACAGATTTTACGTTGTACAACCTTTTAAAGCCCAACACAAAAGTCGAAAAAGTTGAAAATGTGGAACAGCTAATAGTTACCTTTGAACCCAAGGTTATTACTTAGAAATACATAAGCATCAAGAAAGCAAAAAGAGATAACTTCTTTAGAAAAATCCACAAATTATCAATTAATACTATCTACATCAACCATGCTACCATTTTTCCTAATCAGAGCTTATGATGTGTTTTTGAACTTGTCAAAAACAATTCATAAGGTCGTCCAGAAACTAGTAAAATTGGACACATTTCCTATTCAAGTATAATCTTATTCATAGTAAGATATATGAAATATAATTAAAAAGCTAATATTCTTTAATTTTTCTTTTTTTTAAATATTAAAATTTAAAAAAGTATTTTCAGCTATAAACAACAAATACTTACTAATTCTAAGCTGTCAATACCAATTGATATAATAGCTGTCCTTATCAGATAATTTCCTTTGTTGAGTTTTTGAGTTAAAACTTCACCTGGTAGTTCATTTTCAAATGGTAATTTATTGCTGATTGTTAAACCTTTATCAGTCGTTTTTTTCTCGCCTTCATCATCTTTGTCCACAAAAAAAAAATCATCATAAATTTTAAAATTAATTAATTTTTAAATTTTTTTCATTTTAATCACTAAAATTTTAATTGCAACTAATTTGATTGAAATAATATGCATTGTAAATATAAAACTTAAAATATAGTATTTAAAGCATTGGTTCTACTTTTTTTTTAAAATTCATAAAATTGTAAAAATCTTTATTAGATAAAAGAATAATTTAAATATACTAATATATTTACTTTTAATTAATTTGATACTATTTAGCTACTAAATGATTATACCAAATTTGAACATTTATTTTATAAATTTTTGTTTAATTTTTTTAAAATGTAAGTATTCATGTTGTTAAGCTAATGCAATAATTTCTATATGAAATTATTGAAATGGTTTAGATCGCTAAAAAAAAGTCATCGATATCATTTGAAAAAGTTTGCATTCTACTTTTAGAGATTAAAATTTGATCGATAGCAATGCTAAGTAATTAAGGCTAAGTAATTAACATAATCAATAATAAAGTTAAGTAATTAGCATATCTAATAGTAAGTAAAATTTAACTAATTAACATAAATTTTAAAGTAAATTACACGGAGAAATTTTAAAACGTTCTTTTTCTTTCATCCATAATGTATTTTCCCATTGGGTAACATCAAATTCCATTTCATTCAAATTCTCTTTCTGCAAATTTAACTTTTTAAAATTAATTGTGGATTTAATTATTTTATTCTAGTTAGAAAGATTGATTATGATTACAGTGATAAATTTGATATATTCTCAAATCTCAATTATTTATATTTTAAAAGAGTAATGGAATTCTTGTCGAGAACTACCGGAAGTAGGAATTTATTATTTATAATTAAAAAATAAAATGTAAGAAACTAGAAAGTAATCAATTTAAATGGATAAAGAACTTTTGTATTTGATTTGTAATAGCTAATTTTGAGATCTTTAAAATATAAATACCTCATAGTCTCGAGAAAATCAAAGTCTTGACGCCTGTATTTGATGTTATTATTGTGTCATATGACAAATTAGGTTAATTAATTAGATGAGCAACTAATGAATAAGTAAATAAACAAGTGGATAAATTAATAAATGAATAAACAAATAAATAACTAGATAAAATTTAATAAATAAGTGATAAATAAATTGATAAATTAATAAATGAACGAATAAATAGATAAAGTAATAAGTGAATAAATAAATAAATGAATAAATAAACAAACAAATAAACAAGTAAATAGACCTCTGAAGAACTATTTGCTGCAAATTTTTCAGTAGTAATTGGCTTTGAAAAATGTTTTCTTTCATATTTCTTTCGTCTGATCATTTCTTCGAATCGTTCCTGTCTATGCGGCACATTTTGTCTTTTCAATTGAACGTTGTCATTTACGTCGTCGATAGTGTCTCTTGACCTTTGACTCTTGTCACATTTTTTATTAATGTTACTTGAACTTTGACTCTTATCACATTCTTGTGATTCCCTAATGAAATAGAGTAAATGATAAAATTAGATGGAAAATCTTGATAATTAGAAATAAATAAGATTGTTTAGTACGATTATTGTTTTTTAGTATTTTTTTCGGTATTAAGGTTGTTATTATTTTTTGGTTGTAAAATTATTCATAACTAATATTTTTATTTAACTTATTAAACTTTTAAGCGAACTATCATATCAATAATGGTTGAAAACAAAAAAAAAAAAAGTTATTTGATTTTTTCAACAATTATTAAACACTCCTAAGCATTTATTCATTTTAAAAAACAAATTTGTTTATTTCATTATTTTGTAAACAAAACAAATATATCGTTTTCACTGCCAATAATATAAATAATTTTAATTTTAACTATGAAATATTAAAATTTATATTTCATTCGTTACGTTATTTCATGTTTTTCTGTCTCTTGTCACATCATTCTAAATTTTTGCTGTCATCAAAAAAAAGCAATAACTGAAGACAATTTATCCGCTCTTACTATCCGTTTTTGATTTGAATTTTTAAATTAAATTGAAAATTGTAATATTAATTACAAATATACCAACTATATCGCCTTTCTGCTCTTTTTGCAAAATTTATCATTTGAAAATTATTATTGTATCGATAAAATGAAGGTTGTTGTTGATTGTTGTTTGCTGTTGTTTACTATTTGCTACTTCTTTTTTGCTTGTTTCTGTTGTTTTTTACTGCTGTTTGTTTATTGTTGTTTGCTTATTTTTGTTCGTTCATTGTCGCACTTTGTTGTTGTTTGTTTATTATTATTTGTTTGCTGCTGTTTGTTTATTGTTGTTTGCTTGCCGCTGTTTGTTTGTTGTTGCTTGTTTATTATTGTTAGTTTATTGTCCTAGTTTATTGTTGCTTGTTTATTATTGTTTGTTTATCGTTGTCTGTTCATTGTTGTTGTTTGTTTTTGTAGCTTATTATTAATTATTTATTGTTTATTGTTATTGAACAAATATTATTCACCTGCTTATTTTTTCATCCACATTTTGAATAGATGTTTTTGAGCATTCTTTTCCAGAGTCTCGATCCGATTTTATTCTAAGCATATATTTATTTACTCTTTTAAGTTTTGTTACAAATAAAAGCAATAATAAAATGAATGATTTTTACTTCACTATAACCATTTATATACATATTGCTTTTTAATAAGTTCTAATTTGCATAAAAAATTAATTTGATGCAATAATTTGCACAAAAAAAAATTAAATTAACCACTTGTTTGAAAAAAAAATAACAATTTTTTTTTCTTTTTGCTTCATTAAAACTTATATTATTTCTTTAATAATTTTAAATTTATTAATTTCTTTATGTAACTATTTCAAAGCAATTTCTTCCGCAATAATTTTGATTATGACAGCTGCTAAAGTATATAAATTTTAATTCCAAATTAAATTTAACTTTTTTTTTTCAAACTTTTAATTATAATTTGTAAAATTATAAAACTACTTGTTACTGTCATAAATAATTATTGACAATACATTTGTCTGATTTCATTATGGCTTTCATTTTTTTGAGGAAATACAAAAGTGAGGATTTGAAATGCCGTAAAATCACATAAATTAAATATTAAATATCAAATATATGGATTATCACGTATATTGAATATCACGTCCATGAGCCATAACACGTGGCTCATGCATAACACGTGTTGAACACTACGTGTTTGAACATACAATGAATATTACGTGCTGATCATTTGAATATTGCGTAATAAAGCACGCATATACCAAATATTATATACTAAGTATTGCGTGTACTGATTGCGGTATATATTTATATTGCATCTACGAACTATCACGAATATTACGTGTATGAATTAAAACATATATTGAATATTACGTCATGATTATCACGTATATTGAACACTAAGTGTATGAATTAAAACATGTACTGAACATTACGTCATGAACTATCACGTATGTTGAACACTACGTGTATGAATTATAAGTTATCTTATTCTAAAGAAATGAATTTCGAACAAACCGACAGTTTAACGTATAGCAAACGTTATTTGCTCTTGGCATACGTCATTTCTTGTCACGTTAGTTTGCAAGAATAATTAATCATTTCAACATACGATCGATCATTCTTTTTTTTGAATAAAACTTTTAAATGAAAAAGTTTTCAAAATTTTCAAACTTTAAAAAAATTTTTTTTAAAAAATATCTTTTTGTTCATTTAGAAATCATTTTAACAAAATACTAAATTAGAAGTATAATATGAAATTTTGAACTTGAAATCCTCAGTGTTTATTTAAAAAAAATAAAAAAATGAAATGAAATTAAGGAGAAGGAATTTATACAATTATTAATTCATTTTTATTTCATTATTTGAAATGAATTTTGCCAGAAAGGAATAAAATGAAATAATACTATAAAAAAATATTTGAAAGCTTTTCATAGAAATAATTCAGAAATGGAAATTAACTAATATGATATTTTGATAATATTGTAAAATATTGATTGATCTGAAAAAAAGTAAGTTAAAAGAAAAAAAAATAAACCAATCAAACTAATATTGAGTTAAAATATTTTGTTAATTTTGATTATTTTGCAAATTTTTACTTTTAATTTTGTAAAAATTTAACAAAAGAAATTACTGGTAATCTTTTTTATTTTCTATTTTGTTTACTATTTATCTTTAGCAGTTGTTTATTTATTTCTTTCAGCTATTATTTTTTCACTTACAATCGGAGTTTTTTTTTTTTTTTTTGATTTTTAATAATAGGAAAAAAAAGTTGAGCATATTGAATTAACCTAAATTATATTTTATTGAATTAACCTAAAATATTTGAGCATTCCTTCATTTATTTTAATATTGTGAGTTGTTTGTTGTAAATATTTTTGAGCTTACAAATTTAGCTGAATGGATGATTTCATCCCTTGAGAATTTCATTCCATAATTAAATTCTCGAGTGATCTAGCAGTATGAAAATTGAAATTGAGTAACACATTCAGTACAGATTTTTAAATTAAAGTAAATTAACTAATTTGACAATGAGTATAGCTACTTTAAGAGTTAGTAATTGTTGCACGATAAAACAAAAATAATAGAATTTAAATTAGAATAAATGGATTTAAAATTAATTCAATTTGATTAAGCAATAATCAATTTTATTGATCACTTTTTTATGAAAATATATGCATGAATGAACAAATTGAAAGATAAATTTAAATTGCAATAAAATATATTCGAGATGAATTTCTTCTTTTTTTTTCTAAAATTATTCTAATTTTTAAAATTTCTAAAATGATTGAATCTTTCTTTTTTGATTTTTATGTATATAATTTAAAAAAAAATTACTTTACTATTTAATGAAATTAGTTTATGTTTGTTTCAATTAACAATTAACTTGCAACTATTCACTGCTCATATTTGATAAATATACTTTGTAGTTTTTATTGATTTTGATAAACAATCAATAACACTAATTATTGATTAGATCAAGTATGGTCAAATTATGGATATAGTTAGATTTAAATTTGATCAAATTCATAGATATAATTAAAGCTGACATAGCTATTTTATGCTTATGTTGATAAATATGTGATTGATAAACATGTGACTGATAAGTATGTGATTGATAAACATATGACTGATAAAGTTAAATAGAGTAATTTTCTAATTTTTACAAGCAATCAATTTCATAATCAGATTTGATTTTTTTTTTTAAGCTATACTTTTACACTTTTCATAATACTTTGTCCAAATGCGCAAAAGCGCAATTTGTTTATATTAATAACTATGTGATCCGTTGTAATACCACTGTAGTTTCTTGTATCTGATTTTTAAATTTTTTTTTGGGGGGGCGCACATTTACTATTTTTTATGTTACTTTGTCTAAATGCGTAAAAGCGCAGAAAGTTGCAAAAAAAAATCTTTGACAATAATTTTTCATTCTCATATTTTCGCATATTTACGCAGAAAATTAATTTCTGATTTGTTTTATTTTAAAATATAAAGGGTTTATTTTGAAATTAACAATAATTATTAACTTACTTATAAAGTAAATTTTTTTTAACTAATTAAAATTTATTGCTTATATTTTGGAATATTGAAAGCTGAATAGTACAAAAGTTTATTCATATAAATCTGTTTGTTTGTTTGTATTTTCTTGTATAACAATAAATTAATTTTTATAAAAACATTGGTGACATTCTTTCGAAAATCTCTAAAAACTATGCGACACTATTACTTCTTATAATTGAAAGATTGAAATTTTCCCAAAAAGTAAAAATGAAAAAAAAAACTTTAAATCATTTAATAAAGTAAAATTTAATTAGAAAGCTAAAAAAAAAAATGTTGACAAGAAGTTATTGTGCTAATTAGGTAAGCAATTTTTGAACTCAGACTTGTAAAGCTTTTATCACATCATTTATGCTTGAAATAAATCAAAAGTAAAAATTATGAATAAAAGTTAATTTGAGATGAGATTAAGAGAGAGAGAGAGAGAGAGAGGGAGAGAGAGAAAGAGAAGGAGAGATAATTAAGATAATAATATGTTCTTTCTATCGTTTTACAATCAATTTGAATATGCAAAATTATTTGTTTTACATTGTTTTATTAAAAAAAAAGAAAGAAAGAAAAATTTTTTTCAAAATTCAACGAAATTTTTTTTTTTTTAAAAAAAATTTCATTCGTTAAAAAAGCTCAAATTGCATTCTTTTTTTTTTTTTTCTTTGCAAATTGAAAAGTGAAAGTATAAATTGTATTATTAAAGCTAAAAGTTTAGTTTTTTTTTTTCATTTAAATTAGAATAGTTTTATTGAATAATTAATTAAATTTTGATTAGTAGTAGCTTAGATTAATTATTTCATTTAATATATGCTAGAATTTTAGATCACAAATTTATTAATTTATTTTTGATACTAATTTCATTCAAAAAATTAAAAAAAAGCTATATTATAATTAAATAGCTATCAAAATTTCATCGTTTTTTCTTTTTTCTTTCGTTTTCAAAAAAAAAAAAAAAAAATTTCTTTTTTTTTCAGTAATTTAAAAGAATATTAATTTAATTTAACAAAAATTATTCGTTCAGTATACAAACATATATGTGTTAATTTGCATATTTGAATAATTCATATCGTACAAATATGTTTTTTAATAAAAGTTTAAAATTTTTAATCAATTAATGATTTTAAAACTTAAATTTCTTACTAAAAAAAAAGGATAAATTTGAAAAACCTAAAAAATGGAAATTAATAATATTTTTTTCAAATTATAATATTTTTTTTGTTGTTGTTAAATTATGATAATAAATTTTGAGTGACAATTAAACAAATAATTATTAGAACAATAAGTTTGTTAATAATTAAGCTTAATTGATTTGATCGATTAAGACTTGCTGTTGCTAGATCACGATTACAATGATCACCGATACATGCACAATGCAATTCTTCCTCTTCATTACTCATCCATTTATGCGAACAACCAAGTTGAATCTGTTAATTAAAATAATTCTTTAAAAAAAAAAAAAAAATTAAAATTAAAACTTAAAAAATATTATTTAGAATTTTTTTTTTAAAAAATATTTGCCAAAAAAAGAAAATAAAATTTCCAAATTTTAAAACATTTTAAGCATATTTTAAAATTTTAATTATTATTCTTTTATTTCAATTTATGTTATAAAAAAATCATAGAAATAAAAGAAAATGGTAGAAAATTTGAAAATAATAAAAAAAGAAAATTTTTTTTTCATATTTTTTTACTTCTTTCTAAATAATTATCGCTCATTTAGAAATGGAAAAGTAAAACAAAAAAAAATAAAATAAAATAAAATAAAATGATAAAATCAATAACTAAAGTTAACTTTAAACAAAAAAAAAAAACGAAATAAATAAAAACAAAAAAAAAATTTTATAATAGAAATAATAAAATGATAGATATAATTTATGGATAATAAAAATTTTTTACTCAAATTTTTATTCCTTTCCAAATAATTATCTTTCAATAAGAAATAAAAAAAAATTAAAAATTAATTGAAAGAAAACAAAATAAAAGAATAAATACAATGACTAAAGTTAACTTAAAAAAGCAAACAAACAAACAAATAAACAAAAAACAATTTCAATTTAGTTGATAGGAAAAATTATTTAATTTATAAAAATTAATTCATAAAATGATAAAAAAAAATTCAAACATGATGATTATCAGTAACATTGATACATCCTTGTCGCTCATTTAAGATTGATTTTTGTTGTCGAAATTGTTTTGTACTGATAAATAACCTTTGTGTCGCAAAGGTACAATAATGTCCAATGCATTGATTTTGTTTACATGATGCTGTCATCCTAATATCTTCCGTACTTAATTCACAATTAACACATTGATATAACTCGGATGGAAAGTTATTTTCTCTGTAAATAAAATTATTTTCAAAAAAAAGAAAACAAATTTTTTTTTTTTTAAATTAAAAACAAATTCAAAAAAAAAAATTCGAATTATTTCTTCACTTAAAAGAATTAAAAATATATTAAAAATTAAAAAAAAAAATTTTTTTTTAATTTTGAAAAATAATATAGCACTAATTAAACAATGTAAAAAAAAAAAAATTCGATCATAATGTAATCTAACAATGATAAATAAACAAAAATTTTTTTTTGATATTTATACGTTTTTTAAAGATATGATAAAATTTAATTAATTAATTTAAATGTTTACTTCTGATTTACAAAACGATACACATTTTGAAGATATGATAAAATTTAATTAATTAATTTAAATATTTACTTTTGATTTACAAAAAGACACACTTTTTGAAAATATGATAAAATTTAATTAATTAATTTAAATGTTTACTTCTGATTTACAAAACGATACACTTTTTGAAGATATGATAAAATTTAACCAATTAATTTAAATGTTTACTTTTGATTTACAAAAAGTGATCGTATTCGAGTAGTTCCTTCTAAATGATTCCATGACGTGGAACGTTTATAAGCTACGTTGCAATTATTTGTATTGCAGATGCAATGTTTTCGTGGTATACCAGAACCTCTAAAACAACAATTCTGATAATTTATGATAAGAAAATAGTGATAAGAAGATCAGAAGATAAATAATTTGATATATTTATTTATGCATCTAACAAAAAAAAAGGGAAAAAATTGATTTGATCGACGATAAAAGAAAAGAATTCATTGTGTAAATTTATCTAAACATTGTATATTTTAATTAACAATTTAAATATTTTAGTTATTATTTATTTATAAATATGAATTTAAAAAAAATTAATAATTATTATTATATTAAACACTGACATTACCAAACTAAAAATTTATATCATTCAAAAAGTTTTTTTAATATAAGTTTATGTTTTGTTTAAAATAATTTTCGACACAGAAAGTTGTAGTGAATAAATTCAGTAATCATATTAATAATTATTATTAATTGTTAAATTTTAATTTCATTCCTAGCAAAAACCAAAGACTTATTGTGTCGAAAAATACATTTTTTTGTTCTCGAGAATTACTCTCGAGAAAAACTTTTTTTTTTTGTTCTCATTTAATGATTAAAGCAAATAGGTAGATAAATAGGAAGAAAATAAACAAAATAACATACAAATGGGCGAAATGATATGTTAAGATAAAACAATTGCTCATACAATATGATTTGTATTTGCTGATACAATAAGATTTGCCCATTCATGCGAAGAAAATTATGCAATTTGCTGTTCAAATAAGCATTTAATTTTACCTACTAACAGTAACACACATTCGTGTTCGATAATATAACAATTCAGGTCCCTTATAAAAATAAGGTAACGATGGTGGTCCATAACCACAACCAGCTGCTCCTTTAATAAAAATAAAAAAACTTTTTTAATTTTTATTATAAAAATTTGTTTTTCATTTTTTTTCAACTTTTTACTGCTTACTTTAACATTTATAAAATATGCTTAAATTTTTTGAATTTAATTTTAATACAATAAAAAAACATTCCAATATTCTTATCAAATAATATCATTTCAAAAAAAAAAAAATTCAACTTAAATCAATACATAAATTTATTAAATTATTATTCAAATTTATTTTAAAAAAAAAAAATTAAACTTTACCGGTTATAGAATCCTCATGACACCACTGTCCTCGACATATTTCACCACAATCCGGTTGACGATCGGAACAATTTCGACATGTAACAGTTTGACGATGCATTGGTCTTATATAAATCATATCATTGCAAAATTCACCTATAAAAATTTAATTAATACTTTAAAAAAAAAATTATTCATTTAATAATTTTTCAAATTCAATCTATTTTTTCACACAAAAAAAAATCAATTTTGGGAAAAATTTCCATTATTTTATGCATAATTCATTTATGCAATTTTCTAAATGCATTCCATTAATTAATTTATTAAATTGATAATTTAAATATGCCATTTAAAATTGTTATCACTAATGCAAATAAAAATTAACTATTTGCTCAAATTTATCATACTTTTATATTTTAATTTAATTTAATTTTTACCAGATGCAAAAAACAAAAAAAAAAGAGTTTTGTTAATGTTAAAATTAATAAATAAAAGATTTCATTATTAAGCAAAAAAAAAAAAAATTAAAATAAATTGCAAACACTGCATGATATTTCGTTCTTTTTTTTTTCTCTTTCCCTTAAATTTAGCAATTCTCTTTAAAATTTTATGAATTTATTCAATTTAATTAACAAAAGAAAAAAAGAAAATTCAGTCAAAATATTTAGCTAATAGTTTCGATTTTTTTTTTTCATTCGCTTTTTTCCTTCGTTTTTTTCTTTTTTTTTTTTGATCATTTTTTAAATTTTTCAATAGTTTAAAAAAAAAAAATTTGCTTCAATGATGAAAAAATCATTCTATTAAAATATCACAATTGAAATTTTTTTCTTTTCTTTTTTTTTTTAAAAAAAACAAAACAAAAAAAAAAATTGTTTGTGTGAATGTCACATTTTCTTTGTTTACAATTTCATACTAATTCAATTATTCGCAATGTTTATGATTAGAATTAAAAATTTATTACAAATATTTAAATTATAATATAAATAATTTTTTATTTTGAAAAAAGAAAATTTATAAATTAATAAAAATTTAATTAATTAACCTTGACAAATGCATAAAATATGATCTTGAAAATGATCATAATCACAACCCATTTGTGTACGTGGTGGCCTTCTGATGCAACCTTTTGTGATCCGATAATGACCTCTCTCATCAGTTGGTTTACGTTCAATAAAACAATACTCTGATTCACAAGAACCCATCTATCAAATTTCAAAAAGAAAAAAATTAAATGAAATGAAATTTATCAAAATTTTAATTTAAACAAAAAAAAAAAATTTTTTTTTTTTAATACAAATAATTTAAATAGTTTTAATAAATTTTAAACTTTGATAGTTTGTACTGATTTCTTTATCAAAAAAAAAAAAAAAAACACAAACATAATAATAATTGTTAAATGTATTAAAAAAAAAAAAACATTTTTTTTATTTCAAAATTTTTATGCTAATTAAACTAATTAAACTAACTATGGCATACAATTATAAAATGATAGATAAATAAAGCTAAGATATCTTTTAAAATGACACAAATATGCTGAAATGATATGTAGTAGAGAATTTTGCAGCGCAGTATAATTTTTTGTTAGTTTAATTTTAAATTACTAAAATAAAATTTTCTTTAAATTCAAACTTTTTTTTTTAAAAAAAAAATAAATAAATATTAACCTGACAATTACATGGTTCACTATAACATGTTCCAGAACACGAATAACAGCGTCCAATAACTTGTTGACTTATAAATATTGTATATGTCAACATAATATACGATAAATATATTACTAACATTTCAATTTCAAAATTAGCATCCTAAAATAAAAAATTTAAATTTTTGATGATTTGATGATGATTAGCTAAGCTAAAATGAAATTTACACAAAATTTAACAAATTTATCAAATGAAGTAAATATATAGGAAAGTTGTAATAAGATCGTAGAGTAATTTTAGCAAAGATTAAACAAAATGAAATTATTGAAGTGATCGAGTAGTTTGTAATGAAAATTTTTTTATTTTTTTTTAAAAAAAAAAAGAAAAAAAATTTGTTAAAATAGGAAAAGAAAGGAAAAATTTTTTTTTTTCTAATTCACTATTAGTCACAATTTACTATTCGTTTTCAACAAATTTGTATTTAAATGATTAATTAATGGTTATTCATTTCAAAAAAAAAAAAACGAAAAACGAAAAAAAAAAAAAAAAAGATAAATGTACTTTTTGGAATTTAAAAATTTCAAAAATTATATTTTAATAAAATTATAAAAATTGATATTTTTTTTAATGAATAAATAACGGTTTTTCATATATTTATGAATTTTTTTTTCGTGCAACGTTTACATTAAATATTATTTTTTTTTTTAAAAAAAAAAATTAATTTGATTAAACTTAAATTGATGATTTTAATTCAAATTAAAGTAACAAATTTTATTTTAATAATGATTGATTAGCTTAAAGAAGAAATGTGGTGATTTGAAAGTTTTTAAATAATTTATCAGCTGTTTAGATAATTTTGATACGTTGTGTACTTAACAATATTTTCAAGATTATAAGAGATAAAAATGTTTAAATTTCAATTGATCTATTAGTCAGTCTTATTTTATTGTCAACAATTTAATCCTATCAAATTTCAATAAAGTATATTTCAAAAGGATATTTCAACAAATTTAAAAAGGATCCATTTTTTTTTCTTTTTAAAATTTTATTATGATAAATAACTGGTAATGATATTTATTATTTTTTTATGATAAATAACTGATATGATATTTATTTTTTTTTTGAATTAATTAATCTAGTAACTTATAATGAATTCTAATTTAATTTCTAACATTTTTTGGAAGTATAAATTTTATCAAATTATAGGATAATTTCATTTATTGAAAGAATATAATAATGTAAAAATGAAAAGTGAGGAAAAAAAAGGGAATTGATAAAGTGATGGTTTAAAATGGAAATTTATTTTTCATGTTTCTTTAGAATTAAAAATGAAAATAAAATCTAAGACTTATAATTTTCATTGATTATTGGAAAATGCTATGGTTCATTTCTTCTTTTTTGCTATCTTTTGAAAATTAAAAATAAAAATAAAATAAAATAAAAATAAAAAAGCAAAGTAAAAGGAAGTTTGAGCAATAATTGCGTGTATCAAATATGAATAATTAACATTCAATTTCTGTTTATGATTTTCAGTGAAATTTGTTTACATTAAACTCTAGTAGACATTTTTACCTGCAATTAAATTAATGCAATTATAAAATTAATAGAGTATTCATTAGAAATTACACTAGAAATTTTAGCGTAATCATTTATTTAAAAAGTTATAGAAATCAATAAAAAGTATCTGTTAGTTACTTTTTTTTAAAAAAAAAAATTGTTTTTTCTTTCAATTTATTTTGTTATGAAAATAAATTTAAATGAAGAATAAAATTAAATTTAAATAAACAAAATTAATGTAATAATGAAGTAAATTAGTTACTATTTAACTATCGAAATGGTTATAAAAAACGAAAAAAGAAGCAAACAAACAGAAAATAAACAATCTGAAAAACAAACAAACAAACAAATAAAAAAGGTATTGAATGAATGAACTATAATCAGTGAAAAAAAAAATAGTAAATAAATGAATTTGTTGCTATTTAAGCGTCAAAATGATTCATTGTTCATTCATTCACAAAAAAAAAGAAAAAAACAAAGAAATAGAAAGTAAACAAACCTAAAAACAAACAAACATAAACAAAAAAATAAATAAACTAATATGTAATCATTAAGGATGAATCAACTGTAATCAATAAAAGAAAAAAAAAAAAAAGAAATTCCACATGTGTTAAATTCTCGAATAAACCACGAAATTCTTGAATAAATCATCCACTAATTGAAATAATCCATTATATTTGCTAAAAAAAAAAAAAAAAATTTTTTTTATAATGCAAAATAAATTGCATCTATTGTTTGATGCAATTGAAAAATGAAAATAATATGAAATGAAATGCTAAATTAGTCATACTAAATTTCAATTTATTATGTTAAAATGATCAATATCATTCCTATCTTTGTCATCATTTTTTTGTACTTAAAATCAATAATAATAATAATAAAATTATTGATTAGCTTTAATTGCATTACTTTTGCATAAATAATAAATAAATTATAACAAATAATAGAAATTGTTAAGTTGCACATAAATTTGTGCAATAATACAAGTAATATAAACAATATCAAGTAAAATAGTATATTACTTTTTTTTTTTTGATATTGGATTGGATTTATTTTTATTTTCAAAATTTCAACAAATTCTTGTTTATGGTCCGGAAATGATGGTTTAGTTGTTAGCTTAATGATGGTGTATTGTTGATTACTTATACTTATACTTTTCTATACTTCTTGCCTTCCTCTCCTTCTTCTTCAATCCAATTTTAATTCTAACAAATCGAAATTACTTCTTATCGCTATGATAACAGCATTATTTTATCGTAAAAAAAAAAACACATAATTAGAATTTCATTCAAAAAGAATTAATTAGTAAATAAAATAAAATTAATGTTAGTATTTTGAAAAATAAAAAAAAAAGTTTTATTAGTATTTGATGCAAATAATTTGTGTTTATTTTTTAAAAAAAAATCAATCGTTTCTCGTTTATTTTTATTTTTAAAATTATTTTCTTTCGTTTATTTTTTATTTTTTACAAAAATTAATAATGCTTTTTTTTTTTTGAAAAATAAAACTGATATTTTAAAATTGCTATTAATATGTGAAATTTTCATATTTCAATTATTGCTAATATCCAGGTAAAGTACTTTAATGATTAATTCATTTGTGTTTATCACAAATTTGAGATTAATAATACTAATTTAATGAAAATAATAAACTTTTAAATTTTTTTTTTTTTTAGAAAAAAAGTGTTGCAATCAATAAATACTATAATATAAAATGTAATATAAAATGATAAAACCATAAATGAGTAATAATTTAAGAAAAACAAAAAAAAAAAAGACAGAAAAAGAAATGAAACTAATTATTTAGGAAAAAATTATATTATGAATATTAATTATTTAAACAATTTTAAATGGTTGATAATATCTCAAAAAAGATATTTAATTGCATATTTTAATTTTATAAATACAATTTAAAAAAAAAAAGTGAAAGTGAAAAAAATTATAATAAAAGATGACGAAGAAGAAGAGAGGAATGATAAATGATATGAAATAATAATATAACGCATCATCAAATAAATTTACCAAATATTTAAATTATAAAATTAATGAGCCGAATGAATGAATGAATGAATGAATGAATGAATGAATGAATGAATGAATGAATGAATGAATGAATGAATGAATGAATGTGAATGAATGAATGAATGAATGAATGAATGAATGAATGAATGAATGAATGAATGAATGAATGAATGAATGAATGAATGAATGAATGAATGAATGAATGAATGAATGAATGAATGAATGAATGAATGAATGAATGAATGAATGAATGAATGAATGAATGAATGAATGTGAATGAATGAATGAATGAATGAATGAATGAATGAATGAATGAATGAATGAATGAATGAATGTGAATGAATGAATGAATGAATGAATGAATGTGAATGAATGAATGAATGAATGAATGAATGTGAATGAATGAATGTGAATGAATGAATGAATGAATGAATGAATGTGAATGAATGAATGAATGAATGAATGAATGAATGTGAATGAATGAATGAATGAATGAATGAATGAATGAATGAATGAATGAATGAATGTGAATGAATGAATGAATGAATGAATGAATGTGAATGAATGAATGAATGAATGAATGTGAATGAATGAATGAATGAATGAATGAATGAATGTGAATGAATGAATGAATGAATGAATGAATGAATGTGAATGAATGAATGAATGAATGAATGAATGTGAATGAATGAATGAATGAATGAATGAATGAATGTGAATGAATGAATGAATGAATGAATGAATGAATGAATGAATGAATGAATGAATGTGAATGAATGAATGAATGAATGAATGAATGAATGAATGAATGAATGAATGAATGAATGAATGAATGAATGAATGAATGAATGAATGAATGAATGAATGAATGAATGAATGAATGAATGAATGTGAATGAATGAATGAATGAATGAATGAATGTGAATGAATGAATGAATGAATGAATGAATGTGAATGAATGAATGAATGAATGAATGAATG